ACATGAAAATATCTTAAATTTTCTCTTTTAGGCAGGGGAATTATTTCTTAACTGTTTAAACTCGGATCGGGAATAAGGTTGAATGGGGATTGGTTGCGTTTTGTGACCTTTTGTCATTCTAGATTTATTTATTTATTTATTAATTTTTTTTTTGACAAAGGATACAAACAACTACATATTAATATTAAAACAAATAGAGTGAATTGCCGCTTCTCCGGCAATTTGGTGAGCTCTGTGGACGCGCTGGCGATCCGCCTTATGAATACCACAAACCTGGAAGCGCGAGGCAAGTTGCAAAATTCTCCGAATAAGCCATTTATAAGCGATGCTACCCTGACCCTCTCCACGAAGCAAGGAGACCAGATTATGTGAATCAGTAAAAACCGCAAGAGACAGAATCCCGGAATGTAAAGCCCATTGAAGCCCATACAAGCGAGCTAAAGCCTCCGCATGTAAAGGAGAGGAGCAAACCCTGTAGTTGCTACCTCCAGTAATCCGATCATCCAACGGATCCTCATTATCCATGCACCAACCCATTCTAGATTTATACAAAATAGCTTACCTTTATTTTTGTGAACCAATTGCCCTTAATTCTTTTAATTAACCAAGATGAGTAGGGATAGCAATTTAATCTGAGTTCGATTCAAATCCAATTCGATTCGGAGAACAAAAATCTGATCGGAATCCGATAAAATAGATTCAAATTCAAATAGGAGGCGGATCGGACTTGGACCCTACGCAAAGTCCGATGGAGCTTGATCCGAGTCCAAATTCGAGAGTATGAGCATATACTTTATAACTTGGGACAATTGTTTGCCTGTTTTGTAACAAAATTTTATTATGAAACTTAGTTCATAATTTAAATATGTTATATTTTAACTTTACTTGATATGATGACAATACAAGCAATTATAGGTATATGACATTACAAAAAAAGATTTTATATATATATATATATATATATATATATATATATATATGTTTGGATTATTTCGATGGTCCGTATAACGGACCGGATTTGGATCCGAAAACTACGAGTCAGATCGGATTCGGACTTTTCAGGGTCCATTTACTAAACGGATTGGATTCGCATTTAGCCACAATGAACCCGAATTCGATCAGTTGTCATTCCTAAACATGAGGTTTGTGCCTTTAGAATCTCAATCCCACCAAATCAAAGCCACACAAGGGGTGAGGAACCTGCCCTAGTTTATCTACTTGATAAATTGCAGTAAATAAATCAATAAAAATGTCTAGTTAGTATATTTTAATTTGTAATTATTTTAACATTTATGAGACACTTATCTAATGAAAAGTTGCTGATTTATTTACCCCATTTGAAATTTCTCCATAAGGGTACGATGATAATATTATTTAATCTTATTAATTAGAGGTATATACTACTTCTCATGTTTCCTAATAGAGTATTAGTTAAAAAGAGATGAAAATATCTCACACTACCCTTTTGTTCTATCCAGGGAAATCTAATTTAATCTAGAAATATCTGAATGGCCTGATTATATTCTTGATTATATTCCACAACCCTCTTTCATTTCGTTCTGTATATCATTCACAATATTCTCCTTATCTCCTATATTGTGAATCATTTGATCAGTAATAATCTAGTAATAAATCTTATTATGTTGTGATAATTTACACTAAAGTAAGTTACTATTTAGACACTATCCTATAAAAAACTAACAAGTTTTTGAAGGAATAAACTTAAGACAGTGCAACTATTCTATTAGATTAATGTTAAAGAATCTAATCTTTTAACAAGTAAAGTATAGAATCTCAACATTAACCTACTAGCCTGGGCTATATATAGGCTAGGCAACTCATAATCCATATAACAAAACAAAGAAAATCTTAGCTCACTCTTACTAAAACAAGAAAATATTTGCAAGTAGCTAGAAATAAAAATACAAAATATGGCACCTCCTAGCAGCAACTACTATGCCAAGGTTCACAAGGACGCGAACATGATGATGGAGGTATACAACAGGCGATATGGACAAAGGGCAGGGCAAGCTCCTCACCAATTCCCTCCGAGAGATAGAAACAGCACTATGGACTGTTTCGAGGCAGCTCAGAAGTATGGTGTTGTGATGATATGCGAAGCTTATTACAAGAAGCAGCCTATGAACAAGTTTTACTGATGTTATTGTAAATATATGTGTCATGTAATGTGTTGAGTACCTAGCTAGCGAAGTACCCTGGTGCTTGAGAAGCACTATGTGGTAAATGTTTAATGAGAATCATGTACTTATGGATGTCTAATATCACAATAAAAGTCGTTTGATTATCACAAACAATTTTTTTCTTCGATTAATGTTTACAATTTTGAAGATATATTTGCTAGCAAAAAGTATGGCATGTAAATATGTAATATCATGTACTTATTTTGAACATTAGTACGTTTTTCAACATGCGTGCTACCTTGGCTATTGTTGCACCACTAATGTGCTAACGCAGATTATTGTGATTCTACAAGATAGGCCTCTATTCTGTCATCCATTCTTGTTGGAGTTAATAAAATGGCTTTGATCATGTACTGAATCTTCAATCTAGGGTTCAAAACTCGGAAAAATAAAGCCAACAAAGAGGAGAACATTCAAGGGATGAACCAACCCGAGAAGGATAATTGGAGTCAATAATTCAAACAAAATAAACAGATCTAGATCTATGCAACACTTATTAATAGACTTTATAAGTGTTTGTAATCAAATTAATTGCGCGCAATATCACCATAAGTCTCAATTGGCCTTTCTCAAGTCTGTTAAGAATCATTCGACATACTTATTGTACACTCAAGTGGTTTGAGTTTACCTAGAAATAGGTATCCATACAATCAGGTTTTAATTGTTAGATCTCCATTTTTTCTAAATTCATTCAATCAACTTTCTAGAATGTATTCTTTAATTGTTGTGTGGAAGTACCTAATCTTTGATATATCCAAATGTGAATGAGAAAAATTTAGGGATAATTTATGAGGTGCATCATTTTGATTATCCTTTTGAGGCATATACTACACAATATTCCATTTTATCTCTTTTTTTCCCTTTTATTTTACATAATAATTCCTTATAATCCCAAACCATGAAAATATCTAAAAAATTTATTTCTCTTCTATGCAGGGGAATTTCTAATCTGAACATATTTGGACGGCTAGATAAAATTCTTGCAGAACTCACAAGCTTCCTCCATTTGTACATTTTTGCATAATACGTGATTCGATTCGATATTCTTCTATGTCGATCAGTATTTTGCTAAATTAAGCAATTTGAATCACAGAGATGCCTACTACAGTCAACCAGAAATATCGCCTTTTCCTCTAACTACCTTACATACACCACAAAAACTTAGGAATACAGAATATGTAATATTTCTGCATTATATGCTGCAGAATTCACTCTTTTATCATCAAAAATTGTAGAATCTGATCGATCCTGTGCTATATATAGAGGCCATGTAACTGGACATAACACAGCAACAAAGAGTGTCACTTAACACGAAAACTTGGTAGAGTTAACAAGTATATAGTATATACCCCAAAAAAAATGGCACCTCCTAGCAAGCTTGCACAAGTAAGCATAGAAGGTTTCATGTTGTTGGAGAAACTAGAAAGGCGAAATGGGCGGAAAATAGGGCAAACTCACCATATTCATGTTCACCCTCAAAAAGAGAAGGTCATTGACAGCTTTGAGGCTGCTCGGATATATAATGGCTTGATGATCTGTGAACACCGTGACAAGAGACAGTCTGTTAGCAAGTTTTACTGAAGTCAGTCTGTCAGTGTATGAAGACAGTCTCTATGCTATGTACGTATAATGTATGTTTAAGTAGCTAAAAGTGGTACCCTGGTGCTGAGTTGCACTATGAGGTAGTAAATCAATGAAGGTCATGCAGTAGTCGTGTAAATTGTATAAAATCGCAATAAAACCATGAATCTATTGCACTTTTAAAGCTCTTACACTCTGAATAAGCTCATATACACATTTACAGTTTTATTTTGGGCTTCATAAAATAGACTCTATGTAATATATAATGGTGCACAAAATACTGATGCTAGTTTTTTTTTTATCCTGCTCATTCATGGGCTCTCCGATTATTTTAGGAGTACAATACAAAACACATGAAGTGAAACTAAACAAATCGAACCTGCATTATGACAAGCGTAGTGTGTCATCTGGTACCAATGTACAGAAGTTCTTGATTTTCAGTATCTTACCATTTTGGGTCAAGCCTTAAAACCTTGCTTTTACCCATATCAAGCCTCTGTCTGCATAAAGGAGAGAAAGTAATGTCTAATGTGCCAAGCCTTTGTTTTAATGTATAGCGCCTTGGCTTCTCAAACCTTTTGGGTCTCAAGTGCCTCACACTTTTTATGACCAAGTTCGGGCTTGTATAATACGAGGAGAGAAAATGGAATACATACAAGTTGTATGGATGGGAGGTTCAAGACTTGAGAAATATCTGTTCTCTCCTACAGCAACCGGGAGTCCAGGACAATATTGTTCCTCAGAGTGATTGCATAAGTAATTAGTTACTCAAGGACAATTGGACAAACGACCTCTATGAGCTTCTTTGAGTTGTGCCATGAAGCAAACGGAGGAAATAGATCATCTCAGTGTGCCAACACCATAACAGTAGGACCGGGGTAGAAAAAACAGAGAGAAAATGAAAGACATTCAGAATTAAACTAATTACCTGCAATAGTCTAAGTTGTGATGAGATTTGCTAAAGGACCTCGCGTGTATAGGCTCAATGTCTATTATGCTGCTTCACATTGTTGAATCCTTCCGGTACCAGAGTACCAGACCATCACGGCTCACCTTTAATCACTAAGGTCAGGGAATCACACTCTGGAGGTCTTTTCAAAGGCTGTAGAACACCTAGGAATCACATTGTAATTTGTAAAGAGCCGCAACGCAACTAATACAGTTGATTCAGTTTAGTTGCAATGTTGTTCATACTATTTATTACAGTAGTCTGTAACATCTTATAAGGAGTAGCATATTTGATATTGCTGCATTGAACAAATGACCACAAAGTGAAACCTCGATATTTCTTACAGTAATCAACACCCTTAGTAATTAGTATATGAAGCAATGTCGACGAATCATGTTGGCCAAATAACCTATTTCCGCTATATACAAAATGGTACAAATAATTATCTGCCTGCCTAAAAGTACAAATAATCAGAAAAAAGCCAGGCAAAGTATGAAGCAACAGAGAAGGAAGATTGAAACCCTATTTAAGGACTTGTGAACTTGCATTTCTTGCCTTCTTAACCTTGGATTACTGCCCCCTACTACATTATATGAATTTGGAAATGTATGCAAGCTCTGTGAGTCGCCAAACATCCTTGCATAGACCATCTCCCCGAACATACCATCAACAGCAGGTTGAAAGACATTTGCAATTCTATCATTCCTTTGGTTGAGTAATGAAGGGGAAGAAATTGGTTCTTCAGACCCAAGATAGCCTGTAGCATAGGGTCGTTGATAAGGATTTCGGTATGGGAGAAGCTGGTGATTGGGGTGTTCAGCTGCATTTAGCAGTGCACGGGTCCCACAAGCTGGTGGTCTTGGAGGTATGCCCATATCCCGGGAACAGGCCTTAGCCTCTAGCTCAGGGTTGCTCAGGGATTGACCTCGGCCATATAGAGGAACCACGGTTGTGTGAGAGATTTCGGCCTTGCAAACTGGGCATTGTGGATACTCATCTGATGAAAGAGAGGCACTCTGAACATGAAACCACTTGTAAATACAAGGCCAACAGTATAGGTGCCCACATAAGGTGACTACAGGCTCATTAGCAAAATCCAAGCAGATATTGCAGTCAAAAGAGCCATTGAGATTTTCGGCTTCTTTTGGTGCAGCTGGGATAGATTTCCATTTCTGATCATACCGCATTTCGACTTCCATGGATTAACAGTCTATAAGCTATATCCCTGAAGGAAACAACAGTGGCTACATGAGTTAAAATGACTATTTATTTATCATCAATGTAAAAATTAGTTTGCACACACAATTACGAAAAAATGATAGAAATGTTAGATGAAGATGGTAGAATATTAGAAATAAACTACATGCATTAGCATATGGATATAACATGCTTCAATCAATTATGCAGCAAAATTCGGATATATAATAACATCAAAGGGCCCATAGCATAGCTGGATCATGTTCAAGGAGGCTAAAAGCCTAATATAGCTCATCCAAAGATCCAAAGAAGATAAAATTTAAAGTATCAGATATTTAATTATGTGTTTAAATATAGAACTAATTCCAGGGACCACTGTCCCAATCATGCTGGTGGATGGATAAGAATGAGTTTATTTAGCTCTCCTCTCACGCTACAGATCCTAAAATTAGCAACTCCCACAAAAGACAACTGACATGATATTCCAGCCTTCCTGGGGTTTTTAATTAACGGGATATGAATAATCCGAAATTTTTAGTTTTGTTCTTTCATTAATCCACCCTTGAAATATTTCAAAAGAGATCTCATTCTAGGGATCACATTCTCATAATAATCTCAAGTATTAATATTATCTATGATTATATTTCGAGAAGCAACTTGCCTATGTTACCTCAAGTTTTGTCCTGTGAAAAAATTCATGGAGAAAGGAGCTTATGAAACTTAAAAATAACCTTTCTTAAAAGGAAGAACAAAGCACCCATTACAATCTAAAACAACCCTATTACAAATGAAAGACATTCATGACAATAATAGAGAGCAAATGACATAAAGGTTGCACACCAAATAATTATGTTAGTTCTTCTTCAACCCTTTATATACCCTCAAATCATGTGCCTTGCCCAGCAATCAACAATCAAAAATGGAATACAACAACCCCTTTCCCTGAACAGCTACATGAAGACATATGATATTCCCAGTAATTTGACTCATTGAATAAATTGTAGGGATAGTTCAAAGAACAAACAGATAAGGAAAGCCACCTCTATTGATGTCATGGTTTGTGCATAAATCTAATTAACATAATTGTAGACAATGAATATGGGCACGGTGGTTTACCCCATACAGAATTTTTTTTTTTTGTACGGGTGGTTTAGTAAACAATAAAATTTGTGTAAACAATAAAATTTATGTAACCAAATGTCTACCAATGCCTCAAAACTACCACCAATCTGAGATTCCTAGTTGTATGGATATTCGCTCGTGTGAAGCATTGTAATTAGAAGCCACATTACGGAGATGATTAACAAAACGGATTATAACACTACGACAACAAATAGCAAGGCCAAAAGTGACAATTTCAAAACTAGACATTCAATGCTGGACTGCTGGTACATGAGCAATTGAACATCACTAGAAATATTCTAATCATTTGACTAAATTGCTTGGGACCTCCAAATGAATTTTCTTAATCCCCTGTAGAAATTCAATACATCTAGCACTTTCATATATATGGACCAAAATAGATAAATGCACCCACTAATACACACTAAAATATAAATTATGTCGAGTCAATATCAAAACTGATTAGAAAATAAATCAATCCATCACTCTCGAAAAATATAATATTTCTCTTAACCTTCTAGACGGTACATTAGACAAATTTAGCATTATTAATTAGAATTATCAATCGCAATTTGTTGAACTCGTGAGTTGTGACATAAAACTATTTAACCTTCTGAAAAAACGAATAGCCAGTTCCTTCATCTATTATCTAGTACCCTGCGGTTCGAAAATGAAAGCATACCAAATACTAACATCATCACCTAGCTTAATCTCCAAATATTCCATTATTCTACATATAAATCCAAGTCATCCAACTTAGAACTTCCCATAGCCCTATTATATTACGAGAACAATAACATATTAACCAACTTAGATAATGTTCTCTTCATCTGAATTTGACTTATCTTATCTTATTGTCCCTAAACGGGAAATGATTTTGGCTCACAAAAATTGATTTTGGCGCACCTCTACATGAGAACACAGTTTTCTATTCGTAGGGGTATACCAAAATCAATTAATGGTATGTTGAAATCAATTTCCTCCTTGAACTATTTAGTTTAGCACTAACATTCCGTCCTTCGTACCTCATCACATAACAGATAAACTAGCCGATTCCACCTCGTCTTTCTCAGTCACTTACCAAATTACCGTACATTTTAAATACTTCAATAAAATAAAATAAAAAAATCTCTTACATTGTCAGCTTTTTTATTTTTTATTTTTTTTTGTTCACACCATACAATCATACATCCTCTCTGTTAATTACGTTTCTTTAACACCTCTTTTTTTTTTTTTTTTTTAAACAATTTTTTGATAAAAGAAACGTTAACAAGTAACAGTTTATCAACCTACAAATATAAGCACTAACCTATCTAATTATCGAAGTTAAAAGTAGAATTATTACATTAAAATGAACATTACTTATACGGATGGATGCTTGATTTTGGCATGCATTCCTTAATTAATGCAGTAAGATCTTGATCTAACGCTCCATTAGCAAGATCTTTACTAAAATATAAATAGAAATTATTCAAACAAATCTAATATGATATATCAGATTGTCATTGATAAAAGCGTCATACCCATAAGATTGGGTATTTCTTCGCTCCAATTTTATGCTTAAAAAAAAGTAAACAAAAATAAACTCAAAATTAGAGCTAAAGGCAATTAACAGGCACTCAATCACGATTAATTAAATTAGCAACCAAAAAAAAAAGCCATGAATTCTGAAATTAGTACTGATTTAATGTCAAGCAAGAAAAAAACAAGGAGAAAGTAAAAGTAGGAGAGAGAAAGAGAGAAAAAATACCAGAAAAGAGGAGAGCAGAGCAGCAAATTGTACAAGGAAGAGAAGGAAAGAGGGTAAAAGTTGAAGAATGGAGGAAGGAAAAGTAGGAGAGAGAAAGGGGAAGATGTAGAGAATGTGAATAGGAGAGAGAAAAGAAGAAGGAGACGTTTAGAATTGAAAGTAAGCTGGCAATTGTCGTTGTAACTTTGTAATTTGTGTGGGTTTTATCAATACTCAATAGGGGTAGTGAGCAGCATTGAGCAGGTAGATTTTTAAATTAGTATTAAGTGCGTCTTTTAAGATTGTGGGGACTCAGGAGAAAGGCGTGGCTACACTTATTTTTGGATGATATTTGCGATATTATAAAATAGATTTGACTATACTTAATAGGAATAAACATGACACTCATGAGGATTGAACACTAGACCAACATGAGATAAAGCTCAGATATTTCACTCTAACCACTAAGCTATACAGTAGAAAGTTATAAGTCCACCTTTATTGTACCTATCTACGAGGCCTCCACCATCCCCCCCACCCCCATGGCTCCGCCCTTACAACTAACAAGTAATTATACCTCAACTAGTGTTCACTGTTTAGCCGACGTTGCTCCGGGTGTTACATTGATTATTTTTTGAATTTGAAAGAATTATTTTTATTATCTGTAAATTATAATAATACAATGACCTTTTATTATATTATATGTATTTATATATTTATGTGTATAGGTAGAGAACATGATTAGTTTCTATCTTACATGGTAAATTGATAGTAGGTTGGTCTTTATTCAATGAGGTCTTGTATTCAAATTGTATGTATTTTTTGTTCTCATGACATGAAACAAAAATATGCTAGAGATACGCGTTGCATATTGAATTATGATGTGTTATTATGCATTATGTTAGTGCAAAATTGAGATACACGTGCCACATTGACATTTTTAGGATTGTTTTTCAATAGATGAGTATAGTTATAGAATCTACGATTTTGGTTTATAGTAATAATAATTGGTTAAGTATGACCACTTTGAAAGTGAGAGGACGATGGAGGAGCAAAACCCGGTTAATATCCTGTATTAACAAAATATTGTTTATATCACTCATTTTTGTCTTTCCTCCCCTTCCACGGCCACTATTTCCTTCTCTCTCCTCCCTTCCCATGGCCTCGCCTATCATTCGACCATCATCGTGAGTGTACACTGGTCCGTCAAACAAAAGACACCCTAGTAGGACATATGTAAAGTGTGTCATACTAAAGGGAAAAGGTGGTGCTTGCAGAGGTACGACGGTCGTCTAACAGAGTAGCAAGACTAATGATTGTGCGTGTGGTAGACTTGATCATATGTAGCCCGACCAATTTTGGACGGGTTTTGTGTAGCCTTTTTTTCCGGCTGAAATTGGGTTGGGCCCAGCCTGGTCTGATTTTCTTTTTAAAAAAAGAGCGGACTTGGGAAAACACTTTAATGCCCTTTTAGATGATTTTTTGGGTCCAACCCAAAAAGCCCACACAAATGGCCGGGTTTTGGCCCGAACTTTGGCCCGAGCGAGAAATGGACCGAAAATTTTAGGCCTTAAATTTTAGGCCTTTGGCCTGGCTCAAACCCGCCCCATCCCCGCCTAATGATCACCTCTATGCAGTGGTTAATTGGTGGTAGTAGTGGTCGGATGATGGTATTGGGGGTCGTGTAATGGTCATGCGGTAGTTAGAGGGTGGTCCCAGTGGTGGTTAAGTGAGATAGAGGAGAGAGAAAGGAAGTTATTGCTTAAGAATTTACCAAAAAAAAAAACATTGAAGTCATTGAACCTTTTCATTATCTGTTTTTTCACAAAGTATTGGGTGCGACAATGTTTCGTGCATCAATACCTTCTCTTTCTTAAACAAAATATGTTAGACTGACGAAATATTTGGTTAATCTGAAGTGACGCAATACTTTCTCTTGTTTTTTTCATCTCAAAGTGTAAAGAAAATCTTTCAAATGTGCAAAATCACATTATTGAAGACTTTTTTCATTTTTCATTTTTTTAAAAAATTATTGAAGACTAAATGCAGTCAGTTTACCCACTTAAACTTGCAAAACTTGTGAATGAATTTCCTGTTAACTTTATTTGATATTTGAAATTCTTATACCAGTACTAAAATGAATCACTTTATCTAGTTATTACAAGTATTAAAAATTACTAATCAATTGTTCTCACTTAATTATCTAACATTATGAATTGGTCTTTAGTCTTTATTTCAAGCACTAATGTTAAATCAATACAATCTTCCCACCTAATCTTGCTTAATTGCCACACAATTAAGCAAAACAACACATAATCTAAAAATAGATTGTAAAGGAATAAACACTACATCAGTACTAATTTTTTTTGAGGGAACTACATCAGTACTAATTTAAATTACTTATACTCCTCCGTAATGTAATCCATTAAGGCATTAATACTCCGTAATATTTTAAATTAATAGTTAATTAATTATTAATTAAGCTATTAGTCAACCATATTATTGTTGACTTCATCTATATAATAACGGACTACCCAAGTAAGTGAACATGATTAATAGAGACAGACACCAATAAATTAGCAAATGGTCAAAAAAACCCACATGCCTCAACTAATGCAGGTCGGTTTGTCATGTGCAATGAGGTCGAGCTAAGATCTAATTACGTATTACTTACTACTTTTGTACAGTACCTTTTTTTTACGTTATCATCAGCTTACTTACTGCATTATTGCAGAATTAAACACAAAAAGTAATTAGTTGCTTAAACGTCTTTTATTCATTATTTTTTTTTGACAAGTTATTAATTCAGTGTTTACAAATTATTTTAATTACTTGAGTGTACGTGAGTTGAACGTTTTCAGTCTCTTGACAGATGCATTAACTAACTGACAAAACTAATTTAGCAAGTGAATCGATTCATTATTATCTTATTTCTTTGTTTACTTGATGGATTTTTGTACGGATCAGAGTAGATTAGAACCATTGTGAATAAAGTGATGGAGGCGTTAAAAACTAATCTGACTAATCCGATTTGAAATTAACCCAAACAAAATTATATAGATTCGATCTTATCATATCAAAATTGAACCGAGTACTCGAATTGACGCCTCCAACTATGATGATATGACAATAAAAACACACATAATATGACCACAAATTAAAGTAGATATGAAATAGTGCACTATTTTCTGTGTCGTAGCTACCGTGTAGGTCATAAATCTAATTAAAAGCATATGAACAAAACATACTAAGAGCCTATTCTAAACTTAACTGATAGGAGCTGAACTAAATAGACCCTAAATGAATGAAATTTCATTTAGACACGCAGGAACTGCAAGTCTGCATGACACAATGATATGCGGCTTTGAGTTAAATCATGTTTTCCTCTTAAGCCACCATTTTGAATATTTTGCCGTCATCAATGTTAAACATATATAATTATAACTTTGTTGTTAATTAATTACTCACTTAGTCTATGATCTCATATTCTATTACTGTACAAATTTTAATTAATTTGCTCTACTTTAAAAAAAATCCATTATTTATTAGTTAGGCCATAACTCATAAATAACAGGGTTGTTTAGCAATCGTGGTTTTACATAATTTGTTTGATCAATTGGTAATAGTACGAGTAACTCCTCTACCTTATTATATCATCTCTCCTTTTTCTTTAATGTGGGACACTCATACAAATGAGCTATAATGAGTTTCAACATTAGTTGTGGCTCTTAATTAGTTGTTTTTAAGTAAAAAATTAGCTTTTAACTTTTGACTTTTGACTGAGAGCTAGCTAGCTAGAAAGCCAACAATTAAACATATTTTTTAACTGTGCAATCAAATTTTAAAAACCAAAAGATTGGCAAATAGCTATTTGTCAAACACCAAAAAGAGTTTGTGCACTACATTATACTCCATAATATATCAATGCTGACACATCAAAAGAATGAAAGATAAAATATCTCTCACAACTAACATAAAATCATACATAAATAACAATGTAACATGAATACATCCTGTCAAAAAAAATAAAAAAAAAAATAAAAATAAAAACATGATACACAAACCTAGTAAATCATATTAGATGATTACAATTCCACCGATATATTGTGTGAGAAACTTCGTATGTTGTATTTTTATTTACCAAATCAACCTTATTCTAATTAAACTAAAACGAATCGAAATCAATCAAACCGAAATTAATTGACCAAAAGTCATTTGACTTGAATTCAACCAAGTCAAACCCATTTTGATACAATACGGATTTATACAAACCTAATAAGAACTAATTCGAAATTGACTCGACTTAAACATGACCCTGACTCGACAAATCTTGTAATCTTGACTCGAAATTGACCCGTTGAATCAAACAATGCCGAAGCATGTAGTAACCCCCAAAATTTTGTTGAGAAGAATGGAGAATCGGAATTTGGCTAATGGATTTAACCTAGTCAACCACTCAATTACCAGCCCATAATCACAATCAGTCCGGTCTGACCCGCTTAATTGTTTACCCGTCTCATTTAATTCAATCCAAACATTTCAATCGAACTCAAAAAATTCTCATTTTATATCGCGGGAACTCCCAACTCTCTCGCCACTTTCAAAAACTCAACCTCCATTGTCATCGCCATTTTCAACTCAACACCTAACTCTCTCTCTCTCTCTTCTTTCTCTCTCTAAAATAAGAATCCTATTGCAATGTCGGCGGCGAAAGGGAGCGGCAAGAAGCGAACAGAAGCTGAAGCTCAGCAGTCCGATAAACGAAAGCGAGAGTTTCAGGAAGATGACGACATTTTCGACAACGAGCTTTCCAGGTCTCAAACTTCTTCAAATTTCTTGTTTTAATCGCTTTATTTTGATATTATCTTTCGAAATTTGTTGTAAATTTCGGAAAATTCGGCCTTATATTTGTAAATTTCGGCGTAATTTTCAGCGAGATCAAAGGAATTTTCTCAGTGCTGCAACAAATCAGAGAAAAAGCTGCAAAAGACGGCCAGAAGAAGAAGGAAGAAACTATTTCTAGGTCTGCTTTGTTTTCCTGTTTCATTTGTTGAATTTCTGAAGTAAAATTTTGTTTTCTGGAATTTTCGAATTGTTGTCTTCATTTCAGTTTTAATCGCAATCTATTACGTTTGATTGATGAATGAATTGAAATTATAGACTTGAAGTTGCTTAATGTTAACATTTACACATTTTGCAGTTGATTATATATGCATTATAATTACTGATTGTAATAAACATAACTTCTGCAACTATGCGTCGGATTTTCTCCAGAAATTTTGACAATTTGTCCGATTTATAACTTTTGTGAAATTACTCATATAGTTTGATGAGAGTAGTAAATTGATTTTGAGATAAGTATCTAAGATACTCTAATCAAATTTGAGCTCATAATTCTGCTGAATTTTTAGTATCATCTTCAAAATTTCTTAGAATTTTGCCTATTTTGCTGGATATTTGCCTATTTGCTATTGTTCGAATTGCTGGTTAGTTGCAACTACAAATTGAAACTAAATTAGTTGGTTTTTCGATCAGTGTCGCTTCTGAGATCAAGTCTATGTTTGAGGAGCTGAAGGCAAAGATTGAAAAAGAAAGGTAGAAGTGATTTTGTGGTTTAGTATGCTGAGTGGCAAGAATATGGAGAATTGTCAATGTTGAATTCACTGAATTGAGTGAAATGCCTAATGTTTCACCTTCGAATTTTGTATTTTCAGGCAAACTTTTGCAAAGGCATTGACAAAGAGCTCAAAGGAGGTGATCATATACCCAGATACCAAATTCAATCCTCGGTCGTTCTGGTTTAATTAAGTTTGTTCTTTGGTACAGGAAGCTCAACAAATATCTGATGAATGTATTATTGTTTGGTTTTTCAGTGTGAAAATGCACTGAAGGAAGAGACTGTCAATTTCCAAGGAGTTTATGAGAAATTCAGCAAAGAGAAAGCAACATATCTGCAATCACTGAAGGGTATAAATCCTTGTTAACCTACTACTTACTGTCTTATGCATATTTGACAAGCTACAAAAATGAAGCATAGTTCAATAATTTAGTAAAAGGTTCTAAGATGATGCTAGTAAATGAAATTGAGATTACTTGGCCTTTTGCAACCCCCACTCCCTTGGGCGCATTACACAGTCATTGTTTCTTGATTTTGGCTGTTAAGACTAGGAAGATCGCTGAATTCTCTTTTTGGCTCATTGCTCTTAACTCTTAAGCAGCTTTTCTGTTGAATAATGCAGCTACAAGCATAAAATTCATTAGGCATCATACATAATTGATAACCAAAAATACATCGTCTTGGGCTCTTGAATATGCTAATTATGAATTTGATATCTAGCTGAGGGTCTTGATTTCTGCAGTACTGAAAACTGATCAAGTGCTTTCTTTGATAAAAATGGTTTTCTAATGTGTAGTTTCCTGGTGTAATCTAGTATACTTCATGGTGATTGCCAGTCTGCCACTGTGATTTACTTACATTGCTATGGAGTTAGAGAAAACGTGATAGGAGTATTTTTCTATAACTAATGATGTTTATATACTTCGTTCCTGACAGATACCATTTCCAAATATGAAGAAGGGAAGGAAAGGCTCTTCGTGCGATATGAACAACAAAGTGAGCTACAAGACACCCTTCTATTCTTCTAATTTCATGATTGCAGTTCCTCACAAGAGAACACATCCCCATTTTGTTTGATTTCAGGGAAGAAAGAGAAGAGCATGATACAAGAAAAGGAAAAGGCGTGCACAGACAAAATTGCTGAGTTGGAGGAGTCTTTGAAGAAGAAGAAACAGGTGCGCCTATATTTTCATCAGATACAAGTACCTTACTCTTTTAAGCGTTCCAATTGTTGGGAACATTCTTACAGACACATTGCTCTCTATTTTGGAACAGGACGACAAAACTTTCAGCCTTCTAAGGAAGACTCTGGGATCCTTTCTCGAGACTGGTTCAGATGACGAATTTGCACAAGATGAGTAAAAGAGTGTTATGGTTTAAGACCTTATCTTTCACCTACATTAATGTAGAGAACGACAAAACTTTTGATTCTGCAATGTCTTTGTATAGGCGATTAGCCTTTTGCTTTCCTTCAAGCAAACCTTGCAACATGAGTAGTGACTGAATTACAATGAAGTAGACATACATTATCTACATATATTAGAAGCAAGTGGCGCTTGTGCTGTAAATTCCTGCAGATTAGTTAGGAGACTCTTTGATCAGCTTAATAACAACTGTCAAAGCACGAGGAAATAGATTGTACTATCGTAGTGTCGGGTAAGGTCTATTATTGACTCTGCAATGTTATCGTATAGTCGAGTAACCATTTATCTTCTATCAGGTGTCAGTCCTGGCATGTTTTTGAATTTTAGTGAAGCAGAACAATACATTGTCTGCTGCAACAGAAATCTCTGCTGTATATTGTTAACATACACGCTTTTGAAGATGAATGTGGTGCTTTTACTTTGAATTCATGCAGTTAAAACAACTGTCTAACCATAAGAAATTACACTGTAATGTACTCTGTTGAAGATAATATCTCAATTTCCCATCCCATGACGGCTAAATTTTGTCTAAGCAAAACGACGCAGGACTGCATTTGCAATATTAGCTACTTTAATGTGATGCATTTAGCATTGCCATGACATCTAGTCACCAATTTTCATGAGCATGAACTAATTGAATTGAAATAACAATTAAAAATGATTGAGCTAGAAATGTAAGTCCTCAGTGAGAAACGCTGAAAGGCCGGCAAGCTTGGCTTTGCTGTACAGACAGAGGAGGCCGCCTGTTATGGTCCTGTAGACACATGAAAGAGAAAATCCTTTGTAAGTGAAATGTGATAAATGATAATACATGACTATAATTGTTGCGGTTAAAAGAACTCGTTAATTACAAAATAATGTACATACTCCTATGTACAGGACAGAATGGCAGGAGCAACACCGAACAGATTGAGCCCCAAAGGGGTACATCAGAAGCACGTGACAGTTTCCACACTTGACTTGTCCGACTTGATGCTCTACAAAAGTATCATAACTAATCAAGTTCACATAAAATTCTAATAAGCACAGACTGAATCGAATCATATGCTTAAGGCTGAGCAAGAAAGAACCTTCGAGTACATAGTTCACAGTCTGGCAGCATGAGCATTGGCCATGCTTGGATCCAAGAGGATAAGAAAGAAGGCGGCGGCAGGAACCACAAACCATTTGACCCCTTTCTGCATAACAATGTTCGATTACTTTTCAGAATAATTAATGTAAAGCAACAAATACAGTGTGTCATTATCATTCATAGAAGAAATTTAACACTTTAACAGCATAGTCCACATTTTCTGAAACATTACATCATGGCGAAAAATGTGGATTTTATAATGTAATGGTAAATCTTTAGATTGATAATATCACATTTACAATACAAATCTATACAAAACTACCATCAGATTATCCAATTCTGACCATGCTAATTCATCCATAGATTTTGGGAATACGAACTAATGGGAGAGTTTGTTTGAGGTTTATAAAAGTAATGGGAATAAAAAGTACAAAAAGCGGGGATAGCTCAGTTGGGAGAGCGTCAGACTGAAGATCTGAAGGTCGCGTGTTCGATCCACGCTCACCGCATTTTTATTTTTATTCCAATTAGCGAAATTACCGTAATACCCTTAATATAAATTAAAAAAACAAAAAAAAAAAAAAGGAAAACGAACCGGGTAGAGAGGACGACGGAGGCAGGGGAGGAGGCGGCGGCAGGGCATCCCAACCCGGCGGCGGACCTTCTTCGTCTTCATTTTCTTCTTTCAGATTTTCTCTCTCCTCTTTTTCTGTTGATTCATCCTCCTCTTTCACAATTTGTTCAATTTCTCTCCCCTCAATTTCTGTCGATTTATCCTCCTCTTTCACTGTTTGTTCAATTTCAGTTTCTGGTTTGGTTGTTTCATCCTGTTTCACCAATGCTTCATTTTCTCTCTCCTCTTTTACGTTTTCTGGTTCCGGCGATTTATCACCCTCATTTGCTTCACTAATTTGTTCTTCACTTGATTTACCTTCATTTGCTTCGGTAATTTGTTCTTCTTCTTCTTCTGCTTTTGGTTGCTCTTCAGTTTGTTTACCCTCATTTGCTTCAGTAATTTCTTCTGCTTTAGGTTGTTCTTCAGTTGATTTACCCTCAGTTTCTTCAATTATGTGTTCTTCAATTGATTTACCCTCATTTGCTTCGGTAATTTCTTCTTCTTTAGGTTGTTCTTCAGTTGATTCACCCTCATTTGCTTCGGTAAATTGTTCTTCATTTGGTGGTTGTTTTCCGTCGTTATCTTCTGGTTGTTGTTGCTGTGGTGGTGGTGGATGTTCATTTTTGTCGTCTTTTGATTGTTGTTGCAGTGGCGGTGATGGTGGTGGTGGAGAGGTAGGATGGTGGTGCACTTGAGTAGTCATGAGAGTATCTTCTTCTTGATTCATCGTATAAACAACAGTAGAAAATTATGAAATTTTAGTGTCGTATTTAAATGCTTGTATAATGATGCTACTAGTACATTTTAAGTTTCTAGCCTTTCTCATCTTGTTTTAGCATACAATTAAGCTCATACCTTCCTTTGTTTTGCGTAAATTTTGTTTATTAATACATAAATCACGTAATTATTAGAAAGTATCAATGGTGGTATTAAAGAGAAGTCAATTATTCTAGGCTTAAGAGTATTCCTTGTTAACCATTTTGTGGGGGGTGGAATGTGGAGGGACAAAGCTCGATTAGTCGATTGTAAATTTATTAGGTCTTGTATAATGTTGATTGTTGAATTTGTAAAGTATTGCCTAAAATTTATTCAAGTATGGAACTAGCAAGAAAAAATAAGAACCAAATGTAAAATTACAAAAGACAGAGCCTAATGTCGTATAAGTGCAAAAAAAAAAAAAAAAAAAAAAAGGAAAATTCCAAACCACTGTAATAGGAAACGTAACAAATCAAATTAGTTTCTCTTATTAGTGATTAGTACACTAGTGAAAATCACTATCAATTTCATAACATTATTAGTTGTTTTAGTTAGTTGCTAAAGAGCATAACAATAAGCTACATAGAGCTAAAACACAATGCTACACTACACAGAACACAATAATATGCTTGTGATATAGAAGACAGATTAGCATCACAAGCTCAGGCATATATTACAAAATTGGTGGATCAAGGATTCAGATCAACTCGTCCAAACAAACATTAAAACTAATTGATTAACTGATATGAGATTGTGCAAGTTTATAATACAATACTATTGCTTTAGAAAGAAATTGATTGGATGTATAGGAATATGAGAGACTTCAAACTGCTTTTGGCAAAGGAGGCCTATATCACAAGCAACATCGCCTTAGGCATTACGAGTATAGTTTGAAAAGACAAGACTTGCGCCTTATGCTCCCTTCTTTCTCTGATCCCTGGCTATCTTGTTAACATCCTTGGTGAACATTCTTGGCGCTATAGCCATAGACATGAGCTCTTGGAAGAGCAGTTTGCATGCATATGGAATGTGAACCTGCATAAGACGTTATCCATTAGCATGAAAAGGGAGAGGAAGAAAAGGAAAAAGAAAATAAAAAGAGAAAGAGTGGATTGAAGAACCAACCTGAACAATGTCAGTCTTATTCTTGCAGCCTCTACATTCAAAAGAATTCTTTTTGAGATTTGCAATGGCAATGAGCCCACATTTTTCACATACATGAACCCTGTATGCATCACTTTGGTCAAAAAGTCTTTCTTTAAGGAAGTGGGCGGCACCATGGGCAATCATACAGTCTCGCTCCATCTCTCCAAATCGAAGACCACCATCACGAGATCGTCCCTCAGCAGGCTGCCTGGTGAGAATCTGTACAGGACCTCGGCCACGAGAATGAATCTTGTCATCAACCATATGCTTAAGTCTTTGGTAGTAAGTAGGTCCCAAGAATATCATTGCAGTGAGCTTTCGTCCTGTGTGACCATTATACATGGTCTCAAAACCACGCATCTGATACCCACATTTGTGGAGGGCCTTACTTATATTGTCCACCTATTAAGCCAAGAGGGAAGAAGTCAGTCATCAATACACACTGATATACCCTCTTTGTATTGCATGAAATCGTATAAGAGTGCCTCTTTTTGATTGTCAAATACTCGTTAAATAAACTCTCAGAGGTATAACTGTTGATAATTTGTTCTTCATCAAGTCAATTGCTGATATTTTTATTTCAACATGAAATGGAGAAAAACATTCTAGCACAGCACTATGGGTGGTGGAAGAACACTAGACTTACAGTGACATCAGTGAACGGTGTAGCATCTCCTTCCTTTCCAACATGAGCTGCAACCTTACCCATGATACACTCAATAAGCTGGCCAATTGTCATACGTGATGGGATAGCATGAGGATTTACTATGATGTCCGGAGTGATGCCTTCCACAGTCCATGGCATATCCTCCTGAGTGTAAGTCATGCCAACTGTTCCCTTTTGACCATGCCTACTGCTAAACTTATCTCCAATCTGAGGAACACGCACGGATCTCACCCTCACTTTCACAAATCTCAAGCCATCGGCATTGGTTGTTAGTAAAACCTACAAACACAAAAGTTCTGAGAACCAAATACAAAGATAACACTTGGATTACAAAGGTAATCTACTACTCATAGATATAGAATTACCTGATCCACCATCCCTGTCTCACTATGACGTAAGCTAATACTATGATCACGTCGTGAATAACGTGCAGATGGCCCCTGAGCTTCTTCCGGGGCAAGTGGAGTAGTCTTTCCAATAATGACATCCTCACCTGCAACTCTAGTACCCTGCCCAATAAGAAAAGTTCAGATGATTACAAACTTGTTTAGACAAGATTTCTCTTTCAACATCCGTTAATATACTCACAGGAGGTGCAAGCCCATCATCATCTAATTTGTCGTAAGATCCATGTCGCATACCCTACAAAATAATGCATTCAGTATCAAACCACCATAACAAAACAAAACCATGTAGATTTGCTTCTTAGCACCTACCATAGTATTAGATCTGTCGGGACGCCCAAAGTCCTCCTTGACAAGTGTTCCCATTTTCTTCTCCTCATCCCTATGCAAGACATAGGTACAATTGAGCAACTACTTCACAAAAATGCCCAGCTACCAAATTAACCAAAGGACTTGGTATTTAGGAAACCTAATCAATTTACTCACCTGTAAGATCGGAAAAACAGGGATCGGAAGAATCCACGATCAATTGCAGATTGATTCATAATAACGGAATCTTCTTGGTTATAGCCAGAATAACAAGCAATGGCAACAATAGCATTCTAATAAGAAGAGGAACAAGCAAACGTCAACAATACTTCCAGCAGTAAAAGATGTTAATCATAGATCTGCAGTAAGAGTAACTTACAATGCCAGCAGGAAGCTGTCTGAAGTGCAAGTGCTCCATGGCACGTGTTGTAACAAGGGGCTTCTGAGGATAGTAGAGGACATAGGCCAATGTATCCTAAAGAAGGTGGAAAATATATGCAAAATGAAGTTATAAGATTTGGCAAACATCAAGAAGAATGATGTATTGGTATAATCTCAACATAAGGGATACACTAATACCATTCTGAACTGATAATTCGTGACGTAGATCCCCATGGCTTGCTTCCCCATAGCTGATTGATATGTATTACGTGGGGACTGGAAGAAACAAAAACATTAGCAACTGAAGCACAATAAGCTGGCCACATTTCAAACACTTAGAAATACCAGATTACCTGATTGTGATCAGGAAATGGAATAATTGAGGCACAGACACCCAATATCAAAGATGGGTGAATTTCACAGTGAGTGTAGGTCTCAGAGTATGCCTCCTCTGGATTAAGCCGTGCTGTCACAAGATCCTGCAAGATGTTTAGAATCATCAAATTATGAAACAAGAAAGTTCTTAATTTCAGCACTCAACCACTGACTAATAAGGCCTCCTTACAACAAAGAAATACAAGAAGAGAGCAAAGCCACATTAAGATTTCTAATTTTCTGGTGTATGCTCACATTGATGGTCATGGAAATCATAGTGGTCTCTTCTTCTTCCGTGTCAATGTACTCAATATATCCCTTTGCAACGAGATCATGCCAACCACCATCTTCAGGTGACTCCTGAAAAAAGACCAATTATTTTTAAAATGCACAAATCCACAAAGTTAAAACGAGCAGTACAAGAAATCAGATAAATGAATAATGCAGCATACCCTCTGTTGTAATGCCCGGATATCCTTTTTCTTTATGAGAAGACTTTGTTTCTCAACAATAAACAGCGGGCGACTGCAACGACCATAATCTGTGTATATACGCAATTCTTTCAGCCGGATATCTCGAACAACCCCAACTTCAGTATTCACATCAACCTGAGTATAGTAGATATATATGAGGCAGTGATAACAATTAATCACATAATTTAATCAATATTGATATCAGGATAACAAATAAAGATTAGTAATCAGAACAATATTCTTCACAATTCAAAAATATTATCAAAACGGCAATTTCAGAACGTAAAGAATACACCAAAATGAGTGCAACTTCACTCTGCTATCAGATCCACATGTCAGATAAACTTAGCAGTGGAAGTTATAAAATGAGCATGAGCATGATCAAGCATAAAGTTCAAACTCATAAATCAATCAATCAATCAAAGCCTTAATCCCATAAGTGGGATTGGCATAAGCCAAAGCAAAATATTCAAAAAAATAAATAAATAAAAATCAGGAATTAGATCACAGAATGTAACACAAACATCTAACCACCTCTGCAATACCATCTAATCTTAAGTTAGAAAACATACCCTTCTCCTTAGTTGCCTCAATGTCTTGACAAGTAACTCAGGATCCCGATGGATTCCTACCCAACAACCATTCACAAAAATCTTTGTAGCCTGGGGGATCACAGCCGGTGAAATTTCCTCAAAATTTTCTGTACTCCATTCCTCTAAAAATTCCAATATGGGATATGCAGCAGAACCAACAGTTATATACACCATTAGCGCAAGATTCTTCACTAGCCCACAAGCTTGTCCTTCAGGTGTTTCAGCAGGACACATCATTCCCCATTGTGAATTATGCAGCTGCCTAGGCTTAGCCAACTTCCCTTCACGTCCAATGGGAGAGTTTAACCTACGTAAATGTGACAAGGTGGAGGCATATGTAAGGCGATTCAGCACCTGAGAAACTCCAGCTCTTGTTCCAGCAGCATTAGCCTGCCCCCAATTTCCAGTGGCAAGAGAGTACTTGAGCCCACTAGTAATTGTCTTAGCCTTGATAGCAAAGCTAAGATTCAGATCCTTTCCTGAATCAACACACTTCTGAACATAGGCTCTAACATCCCTGGTTAACTTTCGAAATAACATTCGAAAGAGACCTCCCAGCAACGGACCAGCAAGATCTAGTCTCTTATTTCCATAATGATCTCTATCATCCTCAGGTCTTCTACCAAGTGCACATAATAGAAGCCGGTGTATGATGTATCCAAAATAGTAAGCTTTCTTAGTCTCACAATATTCACCAACACCAACATGTGGAAGCATTTCCTTTTGAAGAATCTCCCTGGCATATTTAATCCTCTTTTCCTTGGAAACACCAACAGTAGCTCCTCTTTTACCGATGTAATCAAGGGCAACTTGCTGATTCTGAATCACAAATGCCTCTTCCAGAGAAGGGCGAAGCAACTCCATCATTTGAGTATCAGAGAAGTCGTAGCAAATATGCTCCAATATATCTTTATCTGCAACGAAGCCCAAGGCTCGAAAAACTATAATGATAGGAATATCTGATTTGATGTAAGGTAAAGTACAACGTATGTATTGCCCTGAAGAACCCTGCAGTCATACCACAGAAACACATGACATTAAGATATTGAGTTTTTTTTTTTTAAATAATAATAATAATAATAAATAATAATAACTAAAAAAAAAAAACACCCTAAAAAAAACTACATAAAGACTCTAAACAGCTAAAAAATTGCACATAAT